TCGTGTCATGCCACCAATACACCGGTGGATGCAGGTGTGTGGTACGCTTCCTGGACATGGTGGCATCGCAGGCTTCTGTCAGTCTCTTCATGATGTTATCTGCCTTTTCAGTAGCATTGCTGCCACTGATCGGGCGGTCGTCCAGTGCTATCGAATAAGAGCTAGGAACGAAACTGCTCACTCTCCAGCCAATGCAGTTGGTCTTCTTAGGCGTCATAGTGACTCTGGCGAGTACGCACCTCCCAGAGTATCGCAGGGTGATTAGTTGCTGTGTAGACATCCGCTACTCTCCATGAGCAGTTCCCCTTTGCAAGGGTGCTGCTCTCTAAGGTAGGGTCTACAATCGAGCTCGTCTCTCTCCTCATAAAAGTGTGTTCATCGCCGCTTTTCATCAGAACAACATCCAACGCTGACACGGCTTCCAGTACAGCTTGCCCTCTGGTGTTCATCTCCTTACTCCCCCAGTCGACTGCCCAAGCGTTGAAGTTCACGGCTATTGCCACGGGAAAGTGCTGCTACGCATCCTGACTCAGTCTATCCAGGCAATCTGTGAACTTATCAGTAGCAAGGCTCGGTGGAGCGTAGCTGCTGTAGAAATAGATTTCATCAAGCCTAGCCCTCACAAAGCCATTCTGTATGTTATCACTAAGGCCGGAGACTTCATTTCCGAAAACGGCTATTATCAGAAGTTGGCTCCAAATAGGTGATTGAAGTGAGCGACAAGTAGGGTTGGGAAGAAATTGAAACATTGATGTTGGAATTTGTGATAATTCATTGATTGGAGGGTTATTTTGTTGACGGAGTGAGGAAAAGCGTCTGAACGTGAATTGGGTGTTTTGAAGAGGATCAATGGGAGATCTCGGTGATTTCTTAGGGTTAACTTACCAGGAGAGCTATCGGGTTCTTTCAAAAGGGGATTAATGGAGGCCATGGTCGAGGGGAGATCTTGGGGGTCAGGTCCCAGGACAGCCCTCTGGGTCTTTTAAGGGAGGGGGGGGGTCAATAGAGGGTATGGGCGAGGGGAGATCTCGGGAGTTTTTTGGGGCGTATCTCTATAGTGGAGCTCTCAGGGTATTTCTAAGGGTGAAGGAGAGAGGGGGGGTGGTTAATGGGGGGTATGGTCAAGGGGAGATCGTGGAGGTTCTTTGGGGATAACTCGGCAGCCCAGTTCTGCGGATCTATAGAGGGGGCGGGGGAGGT